GCATCCTAAGCTCGAATCGGCTCAACTTTACGATCACTGACATTGATTACTCACGTGAGCAGCTTTGTGCCACAAAACATGTATAGTATAGCCCCAAACCCTGAACCCTGACCTGAAGCTCCTGGAATTATGAGCGCTTGTGAGTTCAGTTGGGCAAGCAAAGTTCTGGCGAATATGTCTTTCCAGCAAAACAAGATTTGCAAACCCTGGACAGTCAAAACCTTCTTCAATGCTTAGTTAAGAAGGGCAATAGGAACCACTATAGACATGTTAGCTAATGTTTAGGGACTGCTGTACATTCTCTTTCCCCCGTTCGCAATACGTGAGTCGGAAGCGCATCAGCAGTCCTGCGTATCGAACACAGAGCCCTCACCCTGCAGGGTCAGGCAAATGACTTGAGAGAATTGGGGTGTCAAGGCTTCAAACGTGCACAAGTCTAAACTCATGCCTACAACCCTGAATCCTAAAGCTCAAGCCCTACCTCCTAAGCCCAAAGTCCTAAACCTCAAGCCCTGAAGCCGGGAGCACTAAAACCCCATAATCGCGCGCCTTCTGGTGGGAAAGGCTTATGGATGACCCTGCCTCAGGTAACATAGAACCCTGTACAGTTGCCTTACCGAAAAGACAGCCGTCTTATCGGGGCTCCATGTCTTTTTTGGGTTTGTTTTGGGTTGGGTAACTTAAAAGCCCGAAACACTGACCCTCCACCATCCACCTCTTTTTTGCAAACCTCGTTCAGCAGAAACTGTCATGGCAAAGATGGGGAGAGCCTACACGGTTTAGGGCTTGCTTGAAGGATCAGTGGCCTCCAGAAGTGCTCAGAAGTTGAAAAGAAACTCTTGTAGATGGATTGCTACCGCATGGGGGTTTCCATAAGTAGGGGCCCACATTACATTCCAAATATTCCTAGAATCCTTCGGTAATTCCCTACTAAACCCCAGTAAGTAGAGATTGCGGCAAACTTGCCCTAAACCCGAAACCCCAAACCCTACATTACAACCCTAATCGCAAACTTGCAGTCTTTGGAGTTCCGCCAAGCAGTCACCAAACCCAGATGCATTGTTTCTGCCTCGTGGGCTACGGCAATGGCTGATGCCTTGGCGTTACTTACTGCTTTAGGGTTTAGGGGCTTTGGGGTTTAGAGTTTAGGGTTCAGGGGCTTCAGGGTTTAGGGTTTAGGGGCTTTAGGGTTTGGAGTTTAGGGAAGTAGGGAGTAGGGGCCTGTACTATATAAGGGTTCTGTTCCCTTTTCTCCTTACTACAACCAGTAAGTTGGTAGTAAGGTTTGGGGCTTAGGGCCGTTTACAGCTTGGGCACGGGCTGGCTCCTCCATGTCACACAAGGTGCTTTTTCAGGAATTCAACTGCTGTAGCTACTTACGTCTCGTAATGTGTCTCCCCGTACAACCTTGAGGTTCCGCCCTAACCCTGCAGCTGCGTCCTAATCTTAAAGCACGACCGCCGGAAATGCCGAAGCAAACACTGCAAAACGGGCAGTCCCCGCTGGTTTTCCGGCAGCTCTATCAGGCCATAACGCTGTAACCTCAGCATAACTTGAGAGAGTTTCCTACCTGGATGAAACTCGGAATCCCAGAAAGAATGAATGCCAGGCCAAAAGTTGGGCTCCTAAACCCTTGATAATAAGGGTCTAGGGTTAAGGGCAATTATACCCACTTTACACATTGTGTCACCCGAAACCCTTGACTAGGCCAAACCTTAAAACCTGAGCCCTGAAACCTCAACTCAGTAGGTTGACATTAACTTGTAGAGATTACTGTCCACGTTCATCAACTAGTGATTATTGCCTTATACTTCTTGTTCTCATTGTTCTTAGTAATTAAGATTCCTTCGCGGTTTAGAGCTTAGGGATTGCTTTGTAGTTTTTATTATGCTTATTCTTATTAATATGACATTATACATGATTGCTGACTACTCTTTATTCTCATTGTTCTCGTTTAGCACGCTAAACCCTATTCCCTAAACCCTCAACCCTAAACCCTCAACCCTAAACCCTCAACCCTAAACCCTCAACCCTAAACCCTATTCCCGAAACCCTCAACCCTGAATTATTCGTATGGTGCATTGTCCATGCGAGTCCGAGCCCACTGCTGCTCGGATCTTCTCAGTCTTCAGCATGTTGTAGAACCTTATTACGATCTATTACCACTGGGGCTTAGGGTTTAGGGCCCCAATAGTACCAATGGGGTCCCCTTGAAGGAGTTTTAGGCTACATAATATAGGGTTATAGTAGGATTTATGGTTTAACTGGGGTGTTAGGGGCATATAAGGATCTTAATAGGAGTTAGGGTTTAGGTTCAGCATGTTATAGAACCTTACCACCTCGAGGGGAGCATGCAAATAGAGCTATCTTGATTCAAAAAAAAAGTGGGAAAACGGAATCCTTTTTTGAGGCGCGTGGAATAAGAACCAATGCCAAAATCGGCCCCAGCAATCAAAGGTGCAGCTACCTTGAACTCAACTGAAAACTCCCCATGAACCTTATTTAGGCTTCGGGCGTTTTTTCCGTCTGCTTTTCCATTTGCTTTTCAATTCAAATATCCTTTTTTGGGCTGATATCCCTAAGTTCTAAACCTTATCTCTAAATCCTAAACTCTAAACCCAAACCCCAATCCTGAAACCTTAGTCCTAAAGCCTACAACCTGAATGTAGAAGCCGAAGCCCAATCCCAATCCTAGGACCTAGAACCCAGCTTTCATTGCATGTTCTAATGCTTTTTCCATTTTTCTTCTCCATTAGTCTATAGCCACCGATGAAGGCCCTAACCCACTAAGCCATAAACCCGAGACCCCAAACACCAAAGCCCAAACCCGAAATGGTAATTTCCCTTCTCTTGTCCATAATGTCTATATGGTCTCTACAAAGTAGCCTCTAGCCCTCAAACCAGAACCCCCGAATGCCCCTAAAACCCTAAACCCTGAACCCCAAACCCTAGACCCTAAACCCTAAACTCTAGACCCTAAACCCTGAACCCTAAGCCCTAAACTCTAAAAGCCGAACCCTAAACTCTCAACCCTAAACCCTAAACCATCACCTGCCCTCAAGTCTGCCACCCCTTTGACCGAGCAATAGACTCGCCATAATCCATCACACCTCAGGCGTTCTTCTAGGTTTGGGGTTTAGGACTTGAGGATTTAGGATTTAGGGGGTTGGCTTTGGGGTTAGGGCTAGGCTTAGTGGTTTGGGGCTCATGGTTGTGTCCTATCGTAGTTCTGCTGGTTGCCTTACTGCCACGGCCATCATCATCGTCATAAGAATTGCAGTGAGTGCCGCCATTACTGGAGCTTCAGGGTTTACCCTAAACCCGAAACCCTAGTAGGGCTTAGGGCGGTCCAGTTGCTTGTGGTTTGTGGGTTTATGGCTTCAGGATGGTGGCTGTCCACCATTTGCAGTTGTAGAGCGCTTTAAGGGTTTAGGTTTTGGGGGGCTCAGAAGCGAGTTCAACTCCATGTCCTCCCTTCAAATCATCGCCACCTTACTAACCCATCAGTTGACTTTCCCCCAGACTAGGGTATTCCTTACCAGTACTCAGGACCTGAGAGCCGTCTTCCTGAACTGCAAAGCAGGGAGCTCGACCTCTGTTTTGTCTTTCCGCACGGCTCGCCTTGTCCAAAACCCATCAGGGGCAGCTTCCAAACATCCAGGGTCTGAATGACAAGTCCTAATCAGAAAAAGAATTGGATAACCCAAGAACAGTCTATTGTCCATTTGATTTTCCGTTTGTTCTGCATAGTTGGCTAACTTACCCTAAATCGTGTATAATCCCTTATATCAGCCCTAAACCCTAAACTCCAAATAAAGAACTACTTGCATTTTCTTTTCATGCATTACTATATGGTAGTTTCCCAAAATAAGGGACCCCAATATAGACCCCAAAATACTATAGTCCTTATGACAAGGACCCCCAATAAGGTACCCCTAATTTTGGTAAACCTCCATATAAGCCTTTTGGAAACGTCCCTCTCCGGGGTTCGGGTTGCCGTCTGCAGCTCAGGGCTCCGCCTCCAGGACATCTCGGTCGCCATCAGAAACGTCGGAACGATCATGGGTCCCGCTTTGCCCCGCCATAGAGAAACCTCCCTACATGAATAGCGTGCTGCTTGTGGGTCTTGGGACTCTAGATTCATGAAGAAAGGCTTTCTAAGGGCCGTTTTTGGGTACTTTTGAAAATTGACACTCGAAAATGCAAGGATCACTTTTCTTCCGGACCCCAAACAACAACCCACTACACTATTTTTAGCAGCTCTCCAGTGGAGGTCCTCATGGCAGTAGGGGGACCCATGAGAGCAAGAAGCCCAGGTCGATGTCGAAAGCAGCATGCTCTGGAACCTCCACAGGCGGTGTTATTGACAACTGAGAAGTGCTGATGGTCAGGCAAAGAAAGATTAGGTCAGGTACTTCTTGCAGAATACTGGGTACTGTTATCTCCCCGTGAAAACCTGCCCAATCGAGTATGTGTATATATATATATACCCAAATCAGTGTGATCCCTACCTTTCAAGGATCCCAAGACGGGACGAGCATTCTTAGAAACTCCCACCATGATAAGGTTTCCAAATGGGTTTGGGTTTAGGAGACACAGAACTCAGGTTTAATTTCCGGGGTCCCAATGATCAGCATCGTACTGTTCTGGGGCACATAAGACGGACCCATACTTTGAGACTTGGGAAACCACCTTCAAAGATAGCTTCACATGAGGCCACTCATTTATAAAGCCTCCAGGCATTCATGATGAAGCTACCCAAACAGGGATCCCCTTGCTGCAAGTTCATGGTAATAATACATTGGCACTCAACAAACAACAGTAACATCAATAGCAAGAATACCTAAACCGCAAAAGTATGTAAAGTAATAGCCCTAAACCCATAATAACAGGTCCAGGCAATGATCATAGTCATACTCAGAATGAGAGGAATGACCTGTGCAAGTCACGCATCTCGACAGCCACGGTGGAGCTTGAGGTTCGGATTGTTCCACATGAAGTCACTTCCAGCGCTCCTCCTTGCAGGTCTTTAGGGGCTCGAGTTTAGGGTTTGGGGTTCTAGCGTTCTACGGTTTAGAAGTTAGGGTGTTGAGCCAAGTAGGCTTTAGGGCTTAGGTTTTTCTGGGAGACGTTAAGAAAATATCACCCAAACATGTTCACAAAATCGGAGAATACTAGTCTTTGCCGTTGTCGTTTATATGTCATATAGTATGGAAATTAACATGAGGACATGAAGAAAATGTCAAGGGCCATCGTACGAAGACCCAAAGCCTCCTGAGCCCCAATCACACCAGGCAATATCCTACCGCCCCTCATACTTACTATAATGGATAACACCCATGTTTCGTAATATGCGTATCTAGCACTGTTTAGGGTTTAGGCTTGACATCAACGCTCTTTCTTTGACCGACAATTGGGCAAGCTGCCCGAAAAGAAGCTCCTCAGCCCTGGGACCCTGCACTGGTTTAGGGTTTAGCCCATAGGTTGTAGGGTTCAGGGTTTAGGGTTTAGGTTTGGGGTCCAGGGTTTAGGGTTTAGGCTTGGGGTTGAGGGTTTAGGGTTTAGGTTTGGGGTGTAGGGGATAGAGAGAACCAGAACCTTAAGCATTCCTGAACACTCAAGAACCAGGCGCCCTGCCTCCACGCCCGTCTTGGCGACTCTCAGCTTCATTGTGAGGTCGCGCGCTAGCTCAAGATCGTCGGCATCTTTTGCCTCCTTTGTGAGATTGCCTACCCTTCCCCGACACCCAGAGAGCCCCTTCCTTTCGGTTAATGCTTACCCGGCTTACCCTGCCGGTAACCCCAACTGGTCCTTTGCAACGAGTTCTACCCATGGTTATGCCTAAATGCTAATGAAATCACAAAGCTCCAGATCCTCAAATCCATAGTCCCGAGCACATAATCCCCAAACCCGTAACTCACAGCACTCGAAATCCTAATTTCCCCCTCTTTAATGGTATGCCTTAGGTGGACCCCCCACCCTGTAATAGTGACTATAGGGGACAACAGGGATTATATTAGGGTCCTCTGATATTCCCAATATACCACTATTACAGGGTGGGGGGTCCTCCTAAGGTATCCCTGCTGGGGTTGCTTGATTCCTAGAAACGATCTTTCATGCACGCATGACAGGAAACAGGCTAATATCATACTGGCGTGTCCCACCTACACAGAGAGCCACACACCCCTTAATTAAGGAATGTACCCTAAATGGTACTAGGGTCCCTAGAATGATTCAGGCTATATTCTTTAATTAAGGGATATTGGGCTCCCTGGGTATAGCACAGGCTTCAGTTTCTTGTGATGTTATTCGTATGCCTGTACCTGGACACTTACAATGGTTACGGTCGTTGCCAGAACCTACATGTACTATAGTCTAAGCTTCTTAAAGGGGATTATATAGGGGATTGTATTGGGGAGTTCTATCAGGCTTACTAAGGGTGATACTAGGAGTTTAGACTATAGCTCATTGGCGCAGAGTACATACTGGACTGAAACGCCCACACATGACCCATGACCCTCCCCCAATGAAACCTGGGACACCATGTAGCTGTTTCCTCAGACCGCAGTAGTCCTGTGTTGGGGGCTCCATGTTATTCCCACGGAGCCAAAAACCCCTTAATTAAGGAATATAGCTTAAATCATATTATGGACCCTTAGACCATTTAGGGTATCTTCGACGGGTATTGCCTCTTTTGGTGTCTCATGTAAAGACATGCCTGTTTGACTCTACATGTAAAATGAATTCCCGAATTCCCTACCAACCCCCAATAAGTTTTTGCGGCTCCTGGATGGCCCGCTGGAGGATCTTTTCCTCCGGCAATTCCCCGCGCCGCTCGGCCTCCTCAACCTGCATCACGTTTTGGGGGTTAGGGTTAGGGAGGGTAGGGGTTGTGGGGATATAGGAGATTTGCAAATTAAGTTTTTAGAGTTCATGGGTCCAAAACCTCAGGATTTATGGTCTCGGGTGGGATTAAGGATGTATGTTTTAGGCTCTTGTTCTTGGTTCAATGACTTACTAGGAGGTTCGGGGCTACTTAAGATTTTTCTGGCAATTTATGGACTAAATGGGGATGAGGTATCTCGAATTTTTGCATCGGGTCAGTATACACAGGGCTACAGGTACACGTACAATTACAACGATTATACCGAGCATCCGAATACTTTTAACTTCTTAGCCTCATAATATCTTAAACTCGGCGTCAGGAAACTAGGCAGGTATATTGCGAAAGACCAGCGCTGCCATCTATGATAGGAACGATGGGGGGTTATAGCGCGAACCTTAGAGGTATGTAGACTGGGTTGCTGTTACGGAACTTAAAATAAGTTACATAATGTGGGTATGTAGTAGACAATAAGGTTTCCTTGTTATAGTAACTTAATTTAAGTTCCTTAACAGCAACCCAGTAGAATAAAAGCCTTTGCGGCCATTGTTTTACCTACGGTTCAGGTCCAGGAAATTGTCATTCGCCTATCCCTAGACCCAACATTAGGGCGTCCTTTTTGGAGGTTCCTCATAACAAGGCTTGCAGTATCTTGGGGTTTATATTGGGCCCCCCCCCGCCCCTATTTAGGGAAACATCATGTACAAATAGTGGTTCGAAAACCAGGGATGTTGGGAAACAGGGCTTGGGGCCCTTAGGCTCAAGCTTCTCAGGTCTCTGGTAGTAGGTCTCAGGCCCGACGGTCTCAGAGTGGAGAATCCAAGGTTGCTGGACGGTATCTTGAGGTTTACATATCCAATCTAAGGGCCCTAAAACCTAAACATGGCAGATTTTGATAAGAGCCATAGTCTAGAGTCCTAGCATCCCCCTTAGTAGCCCCTATATAGCCCCCTATATGATCTCCCATGTAACCGGCAATTATGCCGGCAACACCACCATGACCCAAAAAAACCTTGCGGTTTAGGGCTTAAGATGTAGGGTTTAGGGTTTGGGGCTTAGGGCTTTGGGTTTATCGTTTAGGGTTTAGGGCTTAAGGCTTAAGGTTTAGGGTTTAGGGTTTAGGGCAAGCTACACAAAAACCAGAGCCTGATCGATGTAGGAGTCCAGCTGGCAGGCTTCCAATGCTGTATCCGAGGGCTCGTAGCCAGCGCCTTTCCTGGACAACTTGTGGTAGCTCCATGACAGTAAGCTGGGTTGCTATTGAAGGAACAGAATATGGGCATGTAGTAAATAAAAGGGTTTCCGTCTTATAGTACTTTACTCTAAGCTCCCTAACAGCAACCCAGTGTGGGACCCTGAGATAAACCCCAATACATATTTTAATCCCTACTATGGGGACCCCCAAAATGGTACCAACTGACTTTTGGAAACCCTAATCCTTCTACACCCCTATATTACCAAAAGGCTCCACTTCAGTTTTCGCATCATTCTCCATTTGATTCTCCACTAATCTCCATTGATAGGGGTATAACGTCCCTATACATGTGCAATCTTCTGAGCTGTAAAGCTAATCAACCTAGCCCGCTTTAAGGAGTTTAGACTACGTCTCAAATAAAGCCAACCCTGAAAAGCCAAGGCATTTCCCAAAAAAAGCTGGCCTAGCCTTAAACACATGCAGGCACCCCAAAGGAACCCTAAAACCTAAACCCAGGAAAAAAGGTACCAAATATGAACTCCCCATAGGTCCCTTGGCGGCTGAGCGGCATCTTCGCCAGCAGCAGCCGTGCCGGCTCCAGCTGGCCTCCAGCCGCGCAGGCGGCGATGCCTGCCTCGAACAGGCGTGGGCCCAGAACAAGGCCACGGAAGCGCACCTTGCGCAGGGCGTATGTGTAAGCAGGTGACCCTACACCCCAGACCCGAAAACTCTAAAACCCAAATTCCAAAACCCCAAACCTCTGAGACCCCAAGACTGAAATCCCTAAAATCTAAAAGCCTTCAACCCCTGAATCCCTAAACCCTAACCCTTCGCAATGCTAAGCCCAGGCCTGCTCGATGACGCCCAGAGCCTCCTGTCAAGGAAGGGATGTTATAGGGCCTTAGGGCTTAAGGTTTGTTTCAAGCTTCTTTGATGAGCCTCCCTTCTGTGGATTAGTGTGTGGATGAGCGTGTGGCTTCATAGGGACATTTGGGGACCATACAGAGGTATGTAGGATTTGGAGCTTAGAGCTTACCCCATTACTCTGAAAGAGCGCTGCGGTATGCTTAACGTGAAGCTAGGCTTTGCTAGAAAGCTCCCAGAACACGAGAAACACTGGGTTTAGGTTTTGGGGAATGAGCATGAGCCTTGTCTCTGCACTGTGGATGCCTATCTATGCACTTGTATGATGCGATCCCTACATGCCCATGCAGGACCTGTCGCCGAGGTAAGGGCATGCTAGCGTTGATACATGTACCCCAGCGTTGGTAAACGTACCCCTGCAATGAGAAGCTGCAGCTCCATGCGCTCACCGTTCTAAACGCTTGTAGGATTGGGTGTTTCCCAAAATTACGGGTACCTTTTTTGGGATCCCTATAAATGTTGGGGTCGCCTAATTTACGGAAAGTACTCAGAATAGACCTGTTGAAGTATGGGCCAAAGCGGCTGAACTGTGAGTGAGTTGAGTAGCCACCTGAATCCCTTTGGACGGCCAGGGTACGCTAGTATCACATTGGGCCCAACATGATCCGTGCGCGAATCCCCGGACCCAACCCAATACCTAAAACCTGAAGCCTGCCACCCCAAATCCCAGACCCCCTTCACATCGCTACTTAGAGGCTCATGCGCTCTATCTCATATGACAGTACTTGTCATCATACTTGTAGCCCCAGGTAAAGCAAGTAGGATCTGAAAAGCTAACCCGAGACCCTGCACCCTAAAGCCCAAAATGAAAACCCCCAAAATTCCTGCACACCCCAATACGTAAACCCATTCCTACATGGGAGTTTCTTCACAACTTTCCCCCACTAAAATTCCTGCATGGACGCATCCCGGAGCTTCTAGGTGGCAACCCCTTCTTTCAGAAACTGAACCCTATACCCTGCAGCCAAAAGCCTGAACCCAACACCCACAACCCCAGCCTGCCTAAACCCCTGAACCCGAAACACCCCCAAAACCCTCATCTCCATCCCTCAAGTCCCTATCAACCTAATTTCCATAACATTTTCACTCTTCTTTTCTATCCCTAAACCCTAAAGCCTGAAGGCCATCCCCAAAGCCCTAAAACCCTAAACCTCCACACCCCAAAACCTAAATCCCTAAACCCCCAAACCCTAAACCCCCACACCCCAAAGCCCCTAAACCCCTAAACTCCTAAAGTGGCTCCTGCGCCAGTCCGGCAGTTTCGCAAGCCTTCAGCGCAGCCAAACCCGCGGCCTCTTCGTCTCATGGGTATATTGTCCCCCTTAAGTAGATAGAATATGGGGTATATGGAGATCTTATTATAATATACTCAAAGCCATATTCTATCTACTTAAGGGGGACTATAAGTTTAAGGCCTTAGGGTCTGCGGTTTAGGGTTTGCGGTTTCGGGTTTGGGGTTTAGGGTTTGGGTTTTAAGGTTTTGGGTTTAGGCTTTTGAAGATATCACGCTGTCAGCGGAGAATCAAATGGAAGAGAAAAAGGAAATGGAAACTAGGTATGTAAAGGGATTTAGAGGACTTGTCCTCCATGTAATTCTGAAGTCTATGCAAGGCGCACTCTACCATAAAATACCAGGAATCTAGGACCACACTATTGGAGGTTATTTCGGCTTCTGCATTACACAGTTCAAAGGGCTAAGGGCGTTGGGGGCTTGAAGGGTCGAAGACCTTAAAACCTAAACCGTGGGGCTTGTTTGTGGAACTTTGAGGGGGCGGGAGCTTGGAGATTTAATGGGGGGGGATTTATAGGAGTCCATAAAAACCCCAGGTTTCAGGTTTGGGACCATGGATCAGAGAATTTTGGGTTTCAAGTTCAAGGTTGGGTTTCTCAAGTATGGCTCCTTAAAGAGACACCCCACATGTACACCCACCAAGGTTCCCAAAAAACCTTCCGTATGTCATGGCAGCTATAGTTATTAATGCCCAAGTTATATTCAGGTTTATTCATGCCCCGTCGGATGTTCACCTTCCCTTGGCTTTTTGCAGGCCGCACATCGGCATTCTCAAGGTAGGAACAAAAAGCTTAGATGACGCTCAATCTAGAAAATGGAAAGACGCAATCAGGCCCCAACCCTGACCCCTGAATTCTGTCGAGGACTTCCACTCCACTGAACTTGCAACCCCTGCCCCAACCTCAGACCTAATCAACCAACCAGCGACTCCCCGCAAATCACCAGCACCCACCCCACGTAGCCCATCACGGACCAATCACAAGGTTGTGGAAGCTTGAAAGCCCTCCAGCGCCTCTAGAAGGTCCAATGAGCGACCTTTTGGCGCCTTGGGACAATTGCAAACACTCAACGTCAACTCAGCGCACGTAAGTTTTGGGGTTCACGGGTTATTGTCCCTCTTGAGCTTGGGAAAGCACAGAAAACACCCTAAACCCTGGACCCTAAACCCAAGCCCTAAGCCCTAAGCCCTAAACAACATATTCTGAATTCGCAGCCTTCATTCACCCTTCAGCCTCGCGTCGATACCTGCCACTACCTGGCCTGGAGATCCAGCTGACAGTAAGTGGGTTTTAGGGCTTAGGGGCTAGGGTTTAGGGCTTAGGGTTTAGGGCCTAGGGTTTAGGGCTCAACGAAAGAACCCTAAAACCCCAAAAAAAAATCTTCACTTTTCAGAATGACTGCAGTCTCCTGACGGTTCCACATCCTAGCCCCCCAACCCGACAACCTAAACCTAATATACCCCATTTTCAGCTAGCTATCCCTACATGAGCCTTAGTCTAAACTCCTAGTATCCCCCTTAAGAACCCTACAGTAGTCCCCTATATAATCCCTTATACAGCCCCTTTAAGGGGTTTAGACCCTAAACCTCTTCACGCCCAAGGCACCAGCTTGCCCAATTGCCGCAGGTCTTCGAAAATCTCCAAAGCTTGCGCCCAGGCAGCCTGGTCCACGAAGGCTCCCATAGCCGCCACCTCTTGGGGGACCCAAAGAACACAAGAACGAGATGGGTTTAGGGTGGGTGTAGCGGGTCTAAGGATGATGTGCAGAAGTTCTTGAACTTCTAGACAAGCTGAGGCGTTTAGAAGCTAGGGTTTAGGGTTTGTACGGGCATTGAAGACTGATCCAGAAAACCTAAAGACCCCATTTACAAAGGAAGATGCCCAAATGAAACTCGGGTTCTCAACTTGCTTGTCCAACTTCCTGGGGAAAATCGACATTAAACTTCCTAGGGAAAATCGACATTACTTGTGGGGGTTCATACAAGTAGCCCACTAAGGTTAAAGGTTGCTTTTAACCCTCAACCCTAAACGCTTCACCCTAAACCCCAAACCCTAAACCCTAAACCCCAAACCCTAAACCCTACAAGGTCGTTGGACTCCCAACATGTTGGCATCAGCACCTCAGTTTCGGGCTCTGGTTCCAGGTCCAGTCTCCGAAGGTCCTCATGCAGCTAGTTACAGGGCAGGCTTTGGTTAGTCTGGTTGATAGCCTGCCTATCTGTTGCACATTTTAATTTCACACATATGTACATGTACGTATATCTAAGTGTATATATATATATAGATGTATATGTATAGATACATTCATGAAGTCCCCGCCTAGGGCGCCAGTTGAAACGTTGCCAGGCTGTCTAGTGCCCTCATCCCAGTAGAAGGGTACTTGTTATAAGGCCCACTGTAGGATGCAAGCTTTGGGGACATTCCGGTGAAGGCGTCTGCAAGAAGGGCTCCTCTAAGTTGCATTCTTACGACCTTAGTCCCCCTTAAGTAGATAGAATATGGCTTTGGGTACATTATAGTAAGATCCTCATATATCCCATATTCTATCTACTTAAGGGGGGCTATAAGCCCTACCATGTCCTCATAGACTGCTGTAGAGACCTTGGCAGATGTTGCCTCTTGAACGATCCGCTCGTAGATGCCTTGGCGGCAGGTGTAGCCAGCTTGTGCCATCTGGTTCAGCAATCGCCATGCATCTTTCCCGTTGGGGAGGTAGCCCTCAATGCCAGCTTCATAGAGCCTCTTCTTCTGCTCTTCGCTGGCCTCCCCATCTCGGGTGTTCTCCAGGCCTGCCAAAACAGCCTCGCAAGCTGCCCCGCTGGGAACAAGCCCACCATCAAGGGCCTGCTCTAGAACCTTCACACCCTTCACGGCCTCCAAGCAGGTTGCATGGGCCTGAGCTGCTAGGCTGTGGCATTCTGCGCTGGGTTGTGTGCGGTGCCGGGCCAACATCTGGTCAAAGAGGGTGAGCTGCTTCCGGGCTGTGCCGCGACGCAGGGTGTCGCTGTCATCCGGCTGCTGGAGCCCCGCGTGCGCTCGCATGGCCGCGGCAAAGGCGGCGTAAGTCAAGCGGCAGCCCGGCTGGGCCTTCATGTCATCGAAAGTCTTCAGCACCATGTCAAAAGAGCCCTCCTTCTCATGCGCGGTCATGACACCGACAAAGGCTGCTGGGGTTGGGGACAGGTCCTTGCTGAGCATCTCAGCAAAGAGGGCAATGCTTCTCCTGCCCTGCTTTTCGCTACAAGCAGCTATGGCGCTGCTGTAGGCGGAGGCGCTGGGAGTCAGCCCTGCCTGGATCATGGCATTGATGATGAAGATGGCCCGCTTCCAGAGGCCACCCGCAGCACAAGCTCTAAGGACAGCATCATAGACCTGTTCCTTACATCGGGTTACTAGGGAATAAGGGAATATACTAGACGGGAATTTCGTAGGGATAGTATTCCCTTATCCCCTACTATAGCCCCAAGATATACCCTATTATCATGTAGCAGTTTCCATTTTCCTTTCCATTATCCCTATATATTCCGTTGTTCCACCCTAAACCCTAAACCCTAAACCCTAAGCATCAGTAAGGTTCGTCGGCTTGGAAGCCAGCTCTCTTCATCCGACCGTAGGTCTGCACGGCCATGACAGGCTGAGCAGATTCCATGGCCTGAATCCTGGGTTGATGCTAAGGAGCTTGAATTGTGGCACCATAATATGGGTATGTAGGGTTCATTGAATTCAGGTACCATAAACATGGGGGTGTAGGGTTTAGGGTTTAAATTACCATATTAGGGTATTATTAAAGAATGGTGGTTCCTTATCGTAGTGATTTTTAAGGGTTCCTTAGTAACTTACCCGGGGGGGCTTAGTAGAAAATTCAGTTACTATAATGGGTATATGTAGTCAGTAATATGGTTCCCCCATTACAGTAATTTACATCAAGCTCTTCAACAGCAACCCAGCATCAGGCAGGTCCACGTCAAGAGGTTGCCGCGAAGGCCCTTGTTCAGCATGTCCTCATTCCTTGGCTTCAAAGCAGCACATGAGCCATAGTCTAAACTCCTAGTATCCCCCTTAATCACCCTTATAGTAGTCCCCTATATTATCCCCTATATAACCCTCCTTTAAGGAGTTTAGACTATAGCTCACATGTCTGCTCATGACCCTGAAGTAGAGAAAAGTTCTCTAACTAGGGGATCCCAAAATAGACCCAAAAAATACGATCGTCCTTATCATGGGAGCGCTGAAACAGCAATTTGGGGGTTACCAAGGGGGTATGTGGGGGAGTATGCATGGATTGGGGTTTATGGCTTAGAGTTTTAGGGTTTCGAGGTTCAAGGTTTTCGGGCCCCCTGAAAAATGCCGGACAACTCAAACTTTGAAGCAGGAGTTCTTCTTATAGCCCGACACACAAAGTCTCTGTAGCCCTTCCGAACTTCTCCTCTACTTACCCAACCCCCGATCCCCAGCTAAACCTTGACCTGAACCAAACAAAACAACTAAACTCTACACCCACAACCGCACTCCACACCCCTCAAACCCCTAAACCCTACTAAACCCTATACACCCTAAACCCCTAAACCCTAAACCCAAATCCCCTTTAGGCCCTTCACCAACCAGCTCCGCTTCAATGCCAGAGCTGTGGCCCAATGACCGCGACAGGCGGTCATGGCAGCGCTGTAGGTCGACTCTGTGGGATTCCTCATGATTGGGGTTTAGGGTGTAGGGTTTGAGGTTTAGGATTGAAGGTTTAAGGTTTAGGATTTTAAGGTTTAGGGTTTAGGGTTTAGGATTTAAGGTTTAGGGTTTAGGGCTTTTGGTTCGGCATTAGGTCTTAGGGAGCCTTCTAGGGATTTAGGGTTTTGGGTTCAGGTTTGGAGTTCGAGGTTTAGGGTGCGGTTTGGCGCTTAATGTTTCGGGTTTAGGGTTAAGGGTATCCTAAACCGCTACTAAACCCTAAACCCCTAAACCCTACAGGATTCGGGGTTCAGGGCTCAAACCGGAGGGCTGAGGGCTGAGGGCTGAGGGTCAGGGCTTACGGCTTTTTGTGCTTAAGGTCTAGGGTTCAAGGCTAGGGCTTTGAGAGCTTTGTGGGGATTATGTAAGATTCCTACCAACTTTAAAGGTACTGTGTTGGTCTTATAGGGCTTATCTGAGGGTATATATGTATGGTCTATAGCGCTGCTCAAAGGAGCGCGCTGGTCTTTTGAGAATTTGGGCAGAGACTGTTTAAGGTACACTGAATAAAGCTTTTGAAGGAGACGCGGGAACATTGCCAAAACGTATTCAGGCCCGTGTTGTGCATGCAAGTCTCAACGAACCCCATCAAGCCAGCTCAGCACACTGGTGGAAGGGCTACGGCCAGTAAAGTCTGTTGCTACTGTTTAGGGTTTAGGGTACTAAAGCTTCTTGGATGGCTGATGAGCTGTATCAGCCCCGTGCTTCACATGTGAGAAATGTTAATCGGTGGTTGGACCGCATACAATCATCTTCACAAGATACAGTAACCAAAAAAACAGTATGACCTTACTTTACATTGCGGACGATAAGCTCTCCGGGTAGACTACTCCTATGCTATGCAATCTCGCCTAGCATTCGAACCCTTACCCCTAATATTGAATATCCCCATTGTGTTTTCCATGATATGTCGCAAGAATGCTCAATATTGGGGGGGTTTAGGTGGAGGGTTGCAACCCTGTATGACCCTGGTTTGTATGTCTTTTTGCCGTTGCTTCTCCGATGCTTTTGATACTTATTAGCCCTCAACAATACAACAGGTTAATTACACATAACAATAGGGGGAGGGCCCTAAACCCTGAACCCTAAACCCTACACCCTAAAACCCTAAACCTTAAACCCTAAGACCCTAAACCCTAAAACCCTAAATCCGAAGACCCTAAACCCTAAGACCCTAAACCCTAAACCCTGAGTCCTAGATCCCAAGCAGAATATCCGAGTGTCAGCTCCCTGGAGAGGAGCTCATCCAAGACCTGCCTGGCTATTGGAAACTGAAGCTTTCGCGGTTTAGGGGGGTGGGGGTTTAGGGGTTCAAGATTTAAGGGTTTGAGGTTTAGGGCTTAGGGGCTTTGGGGTGTAGGGGTTTGGGGGTTTAGGGCTTAGGGGCTTAGGATTTAGGGTTTGGGGTTTGGGGTCTAGTTCTCCAAACTGGAAGATTCAGGGTTGAAAGCAAGCTGATGGCCTTGTTGAAGCTACAGTCCCCTTAGGTAGATAGAATATGTCTTTGGGTATATTGTAATAAGATCCCCTTAAACACCATATTCTATCTACTTAAGGGGGACTATAGCTTCAGAACCTTGAGCTCAGCCAATTTGGGATCGTTTTCCTTAGGAACCACCATCTAAGGGGGGGTTATAGGGGGGTTAGGGTTTAGGGTTTAGGGTTTAGGGGATTGCTATAATTTGCCCAGATGGAAAGGTTTCGGATTGAAGTATGTTGCCTAGAAGGAAACTCATCCCAAAGCCGAACACAGCAGAAGTGTTAGGCCCCAAACCCTACACTCGAAACCCAGAACCACATGAGCCATAGTAGGGTTTAGGGTCTAAACTCCTAGCATCCCCCTTCAAAACCCGTATATAAGCCCGCTTTGAGGAGTTTAGACTATGAACCACATGCCAATGGCCAAGCTAGATGCAAAGCCCCCTCCCACTGCTTGGCCCGCGCCAGAGCCGTGATGACCTGAGGTGAAAAGGACAGGTTGAAGGCTTAAAGTGCTAAATAACGGAAACCCTAAACCCTAAGTAGTAGTTTCCATTTTCTTTTGCATTATCCCAATATAATCACAATATAACCCCTATGTTAGCCCTATATATCCCTAAACCCTCAGAATGGAAACAAAATAGAAGTTTCAAGATGATGAAGTGAGGGCCTGAAAATTAGTATATCGCTTGGGTCTTGAACTACACTGAAACACTCATTTATTTGGTATTCTGGCTTTGTTTCTATGGGAACCTTTCTTTGCGTGCGTAGGGCTTTAGGTTGTTTCAGGTTTTGGGTTTGAGGGTTCCGGGCTTGAGAGGGTTTAGGGGATTTAGAGGTTGGGGCCGCCAGACTTGGAACGGGATGTGCGGGCCTGTATGCCGTCAGTAGGGAGCATCATGAGCAGCATCTGTTCGAAAAAGTGCATTAGGAGTCCAAGGGACATTAGTGCGGGTTTGGGGCTGCAGGAGTTGTAATAGGGTGTTATAGAATTGCAACCTTAGATAACCTGAGACTAAAAAGGTCCCCCTTTTTGAACAGCTTCTGCTACAAAGAACTGTAGGACACCAAAAAAGGGGAAAAAGGGCTCACTCAACACCCCAGTACACTATAGTAGTTTCCATTTTCTTTTCAATTATCCCTACATAACCCCAATATACTATAGTAGTATCCATCTTTTCCACCATGCCTACAGAAACCCAATATGCACCCTATATAATCCCCTTATGTAACCCCTATATACCCCCTATATAACCCCTAGATAAACCCTATGATATTATCCCTATAGAACCCCAAGATACTCTAGTAGTTCATCTATAACATGAAAGGTTGGTGCCGCAAGGATGAGAAGTTCAACGCCTCGACCCTACGAAGCTCAGATGTTATCCGCAAGCTCGCAAGTCCCTGCAGTAATGGAAAATCAAAGGAAAAACAGCTTGGGAAATAATGAAATGGAAGCTACTACATCATATTAGGTTTAGGGACCTTATCTCAATATTGAACCTACCCTACATTCACCACCTTGCACGCGAGTAAGATCACTGCACGCAATAACCGCGGCTTGGGGCTTGTAGGAAACTGCTTACAATGGGAGCTGAAACATGCAATTTGGAACCGGGTTTAGGGTTTAGGGTTTTAGGGTTTAGAGTTTAGGGTTTAGGGTTTAGGGTTTTAGGGTTTTAGGGTTTTAGGGTTTTAGGGTTTAAGGTTTTTGGGTTTAGAGTTTAGGGTTTAGGGTTTTAGGGTTTTAGGGTTTTAGGGTTTAGGGTCAAGTTCTGGGGCATCTCCATGCATCCAAGTTGCGGTGTTGTAGGTGACGACATTCGGGGACTCGGCCCCACCTTTCGCCCTTTCCTTACTCTGCATGTGCAGGTTCGGGATAGGTTTGAAGGTAAGAATGAAAGTCTTAGCAGGGTGTATGCTTCGGGTTTGAGATCCGAGGTCTGAGGGCCATGATCCTACTCCAAAAGAAGTGTTAGGGTTTAAGGTTTAGGATTTGGAGTTACTTGCCCGAATAATCACCCAGTCGCGTCCAGCTGCTGCAGCAGCTTGGTTGCAAGGGCCCAGTTACCAGCCCCAGACACTCCTGCCAAAAGATGGCTATGTGGATTAGGTTTTAGGGTTAAGCGTTTAGGGTTTAGGGTGAGGTACTTTTCAAACAGTACGTAAACTCCCCAAGTAGGAAAAACCGGAATACAAAATCCCTAATCGAGTCCCTAAACGCCCCTATTTGTGCGACAGTTTCGCTTTTTTGTGGGGGGGGAGGTAGGGTTCTGAGGTTTCGGGAAGAAACTGGCATGTCTGTACATGTTCCATAGTCTTTAGGGTTATAAAGGTAGAATTTTTATTGTGAGAGTCCACTGGCTTGACAACATAGACATTCCGTACGTATGCGACCTTGCCCCAAACCATAATGGCTACCAAGAA